GCAGCATCGCGAGGTGGAGAGCACTGGAAACGTTCTTCGAGGGCTATGTACGGCAGCTCGAGAAGAAGAGCCGCGAGGGGGATCAGGCGGGTTTCTACAGGCACCTGAAGATGATCGACGTCGAAGGTAAGAGGTCGTTCACCTCTCAGCACATCAAGGACGAGGACGGCAAGGTCCTTCGGGACCCCACGTTTATTCGCCAACGGTGGGCACGGTGGTTCCACAAGTTTCTCAACACCAAGTCGCCGACCATCGACCTGCATGCGGCTGACAAGGTCAAGAGGTGGCCCACGTGCGTGCCACTCGACGACATCCCATCGCTACTTGAGGTTGAGGAAGCGGTACGGGAAATGGCCAACAGAAAGGCCGTCGGGCCGGACGACCTACCGGCTGAGCTGATCAAGCTTTTCCTGGACGGAGATCAAGGTCTCCTCCGCGAGTTCTACGCCACTGTCGTGGAATGAACCCGTCCCGTTTTCAGCACACGAAAGAATGGACTTCGTTGAATTTGTCTTGGCATACCGTTTTGAACTCATGTAGCTCATCCCTATACTTTCTTATCCGGTATGCCGTTTTGGACATTCCCCGCACGATTTCCTAGCTGTCTTCGAATATGATCAGTTAATTTTCTGGCGTGTATTCTGGCGGATTCTGCAGCCTGCTGCGTTTTTGCCTAAATTGCGCTCTAATGTTCGTTTTCGCCCCGTTTGTTTTTTCGTGTGTAGTCTACTCTCTGTCTAGCCTAGGTGCTGCTTCATTTGTTCGGTTTAGGGGGTAGGTTCTGTTGAAGGACGATACAGAACGCGCCCGCACTTCAGAACCTCTTTTCTAGTTTCGGCCGGGGTTGGGGTTCTCAGTCATAGGGTCATGCAACGAATGGTCGGTGTGTAGGCATTCGCGTGGGGGTTCTGAACCGAGCTCACAAGTGGTGCTAAACTTCTTACGTTTTGATTTTTTTGAGTATCCAATTTCCGAGCTGCCGAGTTCTTCAGTTCGTGGGCGTTTTGTAGCTGATATACGCTTTTTCTTTTGGTCCCATGGGTTATCCTGCACTATTTTTATTGTGCTCGTCGATTCGTGAATGCCGCCTAGCGGCCGGGTTTCTCCTACAATGAATAGCATCATCGTCTTGGCGCGCGGTTTCCGCCCACACCGGTCGACGCTCGACATGCTGTTCGCCATCCAGCGGCTCCATGAGCTCGCGAGGAAGAAGAGTACTGCGGTGTTCGCGTGCTTCGTCGACCTCACCAAGGCATACGATTCGGTGGACCGAGACCTACTGTGGGACGTGCTCCGACGCTTCGGCGTGCC